AGGGAGTTGCTGAAGGGGATTCAAGTAATTCGAACAAAAATAGCATTGGCCTCCTCATGGAAGAGAGGATGGTCAACGACTATTAATTAACACTGGTGTACTAGTACTGTATTTAAAAAATGATCCGCGTTGGATGGGTTGTGATGGCGCCGCATGTGATCAAAGGTGCTACCTTTAACGTCCTAATCTTCGTGTGACTTGTTTAAATAATTAAAAAAATCTTGTCAAAATGCAAGGATCGTGAGCCCCACATGGTACTGACTGACCGGACCTTAGTCAGGGGGCCCGGTATGAAGATGGCCAACTTGTACTTTTTGCTTTGCTTGGATTTGCTTGTGGAATATTGAGTCAATTCAATTGGAATATTTAATTCTTGACATAGTTTAATTAATATTCTAATATACTATTATTAACTTAATATAAACAATCATAAAAGTATAAAAATTACCTTTCTGAGTCACAAGGAAAAGCAGAAAAACTTTTATCAGAATTTTCCCGTTTACAATTATGGTAATTTGCTTTGGCAAAAGCCAGAAAATTTTCTGCGAAGTAATTTAATCGATAGTTTCTTGGGTTTTGTCTCGTTGATGTGCTTTGTTTTTCAATTTTTGTCATTCTTTCAGTTCTTGTGTTGGTTCCTATTTTATTTTTGTTTTTAATTAATGTCGTGTTTGTCATTGTAAAATTTGTCGATGTAATTCCTCTATTGTCTCTAATAAATCTATTCTACGTTTTTGTAAACGCGTGCTTAATTTATGAATGAAACTAATAATTGTTGTCATTTAGCTGCCTTATATCTCAAAGCGGCCACGGGTACCAAGTAACTAGGTATCTCGCCTACCACTAATACCACTAACGTCTCGTATTCGAATGTGAAGGGGGTTCGTCAATGATCCTAGTCTTGGAGCCATCTGTAAGATGTGGGAGCCATGGCGAGAATAATTGCTTTTATGTAATAATAAAGTATTATATTTTGGCAACGGACTGTATAAACTACGTGGGAAGCTGAACCCTATTTAAGTGTTACAACCCGAAGAAATCCAGGAAAACTCCACGTGGCCAGCCCGTTGGCCATGCTCAAACTCACTACTATCTACCAGAGTTTGGTGGTTATAAAACCACCAAACATCATTCGACTACTGGAGGGCACTTATTATAATTAAAAAAGTGTCGTTCAGAAATGAAAAAACCCTAGTCGTTAGATGTGGAAAATTACTTATATAGGGGAAGGTGGTGCAAGATGGGGCCATGGGGTAAGACGGGGACATCTGTTTATTCGTGGTTAACGCGCTTTCATTTAGCTATTTTTGGGAAACTAAATGCCAACCTCAAAAGAGATCACTAGACGACAGAACGCCCGAATCGCTCTCTTCGTTTGGAAGTAAGATAGTTTTCCACGTTTCAACAATACTTCATCTAATTTTACGCTCGCTACAAAGTTTCTACAAAGTAAACATCATTGTGAACTTTTACATTACCTTTTAGATGAAGATATTATGGTATTCGAAGTAATTCTTTAAGACTGAAATTGTTTAGTTTTGAAATAAAGTTGACCCGTGTTTGCAGTCAGTATGAAAAGTGCACGTTGGGGCAAGATAATGGGGGCAAGACGGGGTACCCCGTCTTGCCCCTACCATCTTGCCCAAAGTTGGCCACGAATTCTGCCGCTGGCTAGAGGCACTGCAATATAATGTAGCGAACTAGTTTTAAATTCGTTGTCATTGATAATTCTATATTATTTTTTCGAATATATAAAATAATAAGTTTAAAAATGATCTTTTTATAGAAAATGAAATATTCCACTTTTAAATCATATCTAACTGTAATAAATTTATACAGTTTATTATTTGTTTTTACGTTTTATTTTATTTGTGAAAACATTTTTTTAATTTAAATACTATCTTAACAAGAAATAAAATGTGAAATAACAATCGAAATAAAATTTTTTTTCCACAAAAAAAAATATCGTCTGCTTAAAAAAAGCGAAACTGAGCATGCGCGAAGTGACAGTATCGTCTGGTAAAGTAAATACGAGTAAGTTCAAACTTTTATATTTATTTATTCGGAAAATAATAATAAATGTAGCCGCTGTGATAAATGGGCGCATTGTTCTTGTGCCAATATCGAAGAAAACGACAGTTTAACCATTTTAATTTGTTTTTCTTGTATATAAAAATAATATTCTCGTCTTACCCCACGGGTGGGGCAAGATGGTGCATTTACATATAATTTTAAAACATTAAATTTTCTTGTTTTTAAAAACGTTTTTCAAAAATTAAATTTTGTATTATATATATCCAAATGTTGTAGTTGCTGAGAATAAAAAAATTATTGTTCTCATTAAAGTTCATTGCCATCTTATGACTTTTCAAATCTTAACGTCCTCATCCTGCCTCACTTTCCCCTACTTATTATAGACTTTTCAAAGAATAATACTTTCGAATCCACGCAGGTAAGTGCTATGTGATACCAGTTGCAGTAATGATATAGCGTGTTTATTTCGCGCTATATCATTGTAGCAGTAATTAAATGAATATAATATATATATATTTTTAAAATGATATTCTTTTTTATAATAAATATACAGGTATTTAGTTTATTATTTTGTTAAAATTTTGCCAATAGAAATTGCAAAGTTGTTCTTAGTAAAGAAAAAAAAAATGCCGAATAGTTTCCCCTAGCAAATATTACGTCCCTCCATCTATAATTGGCTGTGAGTGAGAGGAGATTTTAGTCTCGAATCCTGTCTTTTCTCTAATTATCCTACGAATTCTTTTCAAAACAATATTATCTAGACAATATGATGGTTGCGTATGTCATGTCAGTAATGAATTTATAATTAATACAAGCAATAATGTTGTTTAGACTAGATACTTATGCATATTACTGATCGTTCAATTACTACTAATAATATCACTTCTCTCAGTGGGAAAACATCAAATTTCAAATTCCCCTATGTTTTATTTTATTTATAATTCCATCTCATAATCTTACAATATTAATTTTTTATAGAATAATTCATTTTTAGGCACGTCTATTCATAAATTTAACAAATGTCTATTCATAAAGGCTTGTAACTATGACCCGAAACTGATACAAATTCAGTTGCCGCGATTGGGCTGTTCGCCGTAGCAGCATAATTTAGAACTAATGCTTACCAGGGAGCTAGACTCTTGTAGAATGCACATAGTTTAAATAAAAAAATTAATAATAATAAATAAGTATTTCAATGGTGATGTGTCGAAAGCATATCATGCTTTCGACACATCACCATTGAAGATATCATGGCTCCTTGTTTATGGCACTTTTGAAATAATGGTTACCAATTTCTCTATTTTGCATTTTCGTATATGTTCCTGAATACTGGAATACAAAATCAAACAGAATCTTTTCAGCTCCCAGTAACTCTCGGAAAATTTCTTTAGCCTTTGATTTGCCAATGAATTCCGTATGATCACGAATGGGCAAATTACATTTTTCAAGGAATTTCGTGATGGACATCACACAAATCAAAACATTCCTTCATCAGAACTCAGTTTCAAGAATAATTTCTTTCTGGATATCAGTGGCAATGGTTTTTGCTATGCTCAATCGCAATTGAAGTTCCATTCAAGTTTGGCTTGCAGTATTATGCATAATTGAGCAATCATGCACACTCATATCACTACCTAAATTTTCTGTCTATATCCATTTTTTCAAAGTTATGTATGGAAAGAGACTTCACGGCCTTTACAACCATTAGGCTACCTTCCTTATGGCAAAGCATGGAACCGCTATTCTTCTAAAGCCGCTCTGTGTTTCAAAATAGCCTTTTGTCTTTTTTTTAACTTTGAGTTAAAAAAAAGACAAAAGGCTATTTTGTCTTTTTTTAAACTCAAAATTATAGGCCTATACAAAGTTGTAAAAATCTTAAAGAAAAACCCAATAGAGTAGAACTCTTTTAAGACAAATCAATGGAAGAAAACTTAGTGATTCCTGAAAAAGAAGCTGATTTTTCTGTTTTCTGAATTGGATAAAGTGTATTGAAGATCGTGAAGATCATTTTGGAAAATATTCAGAATAATCCTAATGAGCTATGATAGAAAGTAGGGTTTCTCAAACGGGATTCCGGGATCCCGGGATCCCGGTTGTTTTTTTAACCCGGGAAATATCCCGGGAAATTTTTCTTATCCCGGGAAATCCCGCAAATTTCTTAAAAATTCACTTTTTTTCTTATTTTGTGTTNTGCACCAGGAATGCATGTTGGGCACATCAGGTTGGGGTCAAAAGAAAAACAATAAGGAAAATGATAAACAAATGGAGAACAGATGACATGGAGATGAGAAGACATGATATACAGAACGAGTTTGCTGTCATTGAATACATGGTAACTCTACACAATATCTACAGAGAAATCATGATTGAAATTATTTAATTATTTATGTTTAAAAGAAATGCCATGTTATACAGAATGCTAAAAAACAACAAAGAGGCAATGACCAGAAAATGTTCGATGAGTAAATATTTTACTGCATTAATAATGGTTCTGTTGTTTTTTGTTTTGATAGTGCAGCTACAGAAAGGATTAAATAAATATTAATTAACATGATTATTCATAACAAAAAACTTACAATTAAATATTTCAGTTTAAATAAAGATTTTTCCATTAATTTTTAATAAATCTATTCTATTAACTTAAAATATTCCTTAGCTTTTACATAGAATTTATGTCTATATTTGAGAAATTACTATATAATTCTGATTTTAATAAAATAATATTCTAAACTTTGCACTCTAAAATACTTACAAGATATTTCATTTAAATTAGTAAAAATTTATTATTTCATTTTATCATTATTTTAATATTTAAAATTAAAAATTACAGGAGAATGTTTTCAGTGAAGAAGAACCAGTACTACATTAAATAAAATAGTTTCTTTGAAAATATATGTTTATTCTGGTGATAGACTTGAAAGTAGCTTTATTTATAAATTTTTTAAAATTCTAACTTTTAAGCATACCTAAATTTGATATTATTTCTCTCAGTAAATGCCGAACGGGTTGACATCGAGAGTATCTTGAAGGAAGTAGCAAAATAAGAAGAAACTCTACTATTTTTCGTATATATTCTTGTTCATTCTTTTTAGTAGCAAGATAAGAAGTAAGGAAAAATGAGACTCTTTCTGGAGTTGGTCTAAAACAAATTTGAATAATGTAATGTAAATTTATAAAATTAAATTATATAAAATATATTAATAAAATCACTTAATATTAATAATCGGCCTTATACTAAAATGAAACAATTTATTGTAGCCGTATGGGATCACATTTATGGGTTACAGTAAATCCCCACTTTACGACCCTACTTTTATGGCAAACTTTCTAACGCGACTGTATAAAAGTTTATATTTAAATCCCTATTTCGCTCCCTTTACGCGTATTATGTAGTTAAAACTTTATTTCCAAGAAAGTAATCTCGATTTATGACATAGTTTATGATAAATAGAACGTCTCGCTTTACGACGGTGTAGAGAAAGTCGGGTTATAAAGATGGCAATGTGTATTTTAAATTGACGATTATAAAGGGTTTCTAGGGGGTTAGAGATTTTTACACTTTTTTATGCCATCTTACGCATCTCTAATCAAATAATAGTTAGAGAAACACCCGACAGAAGGAAAGACCAAACCTTCACGATGGAAGCACAACCCAATTTCACATGACACTCACACGAGTGTATCGAATATGTCACGTGGTACGAGCACGTTCTTACACTTGTTCGTGGTCTCATTACGACATTTGACGTCGTAATGACACCATCCCTTACGTCATGTAGCATTTATTGTTTAAAGAGACTAATAACTATGTAAATATGTAAGAAATTGCACTATTGGATGTGACTTTTTCGAAGCAAAACTATGTAAAAATTTAAGCTCTTTAATGCTTATTTTTTAATTTGGATAAATATTAAGAATGATCACGAATACATAAAGCTATTTATTTAATCTTTAATAACAAATAATACAGAAAAATAAATAAATTTATTTCTCAAGTCGACTTCTACTCAAGTAAGTTACTTATTGTGACAGTAAGAGCGCTAATCTTAGCGACAATAATTTCTGATTTTTAAAATTCTCACACAAAATTTTAATATCAAATCACCTCAGAGAATAAATTAAGAAGGATTAATTAAATATTCTTTTTAGAAATTCTACAACTTAAAAATTAGAATAAAAATCTCGTATGCTTCCAACACATCAATTGATAATTCTCTTGCTTAAAAAACATTTATTCATTTATTAATTTAAAAAACATCTCGTAAATAATTATTTAAGTAATTTATTAAAATTTCGATTCAATTAAAACATTTTTTTAAATAAATCATATCAATTTTTAAAATTTAAAAGCCAAAAGTCCGATAGATAATAAATTAGAAAATACTTAGAAGCTTCTTTTTTTTCTTTCTCTTATATATAAAAATTTAAGATACTTTCAAGAATCGATAAAAGAAGGTCTACGGGTATATTTTTCTACGGTTAGACGTTTTATTTTCGTTTAATAAAATATAAAAAATCGAAAATAAAAATACAGCTCTAGTAATAATCCAGGAAAGAGAAGACAGCTTTTTAGGTTATACTTGCGGCAAGAATTCTTCCCTCTGTCGATAACAACGAATCTAAAATCGAACTGAAGTAGTAATAATGGCGGCTTGTTTGATATTCTCTCGAAAAAGACTTTTTTATTTTATGTTTGTAAACCCTTTTCTTATTATTTAATTCAAAATGTATCGAATGCTTTCCATCCTCCCGATCCTCCTCCGCATCCTTTTTCTCTTTAATGTTTTTTTTTTTTTTACAAGTAGAGACAAATTCTCTTCAATAATGAATATATATATATATACGATACTTTCTTTGCTTTAAAAATATTTTATTAATATACTTTTTTTATTATTATCTGCGGCTTATACAATCGACATAAATCACTTCGAAGTTTGTATGCGTTGTAAGCTTATTATCCTAATTAAAAAAGAAACTTTGACCTATAACCTTTGGCATTTTGTAAAGTTAAAGGATGGAGGACGATAACTTAAAGTAAAGTTTAGAGAATTATTTTAAGATTGAGACTAAAACGATCAAATTGCCACTAGGATAATAGAATTTTCCAATGGAGGTTAGGAGTAATGCACTTGTATATAGAAGGAATCACTCATCATTCATCATTCTCCATGTCAAGATGAATAATGCCCCGGACAATTACTTTCCTTCTGGCTATTTCATACTCCAAATGATCGCTAGCTAATCCATAACAGGGAAATTTGTCCATCCCCCGATTTAAGTTACTCTTCCAAGAACTTCTGACTTTTTATTAAATATTATAACCTATACCAATACTTTAACATTAAATTAGTTTAAATATTTTATATACAAGATTTTTAAAGTAATTTATTATCGAGTTAGATAATTTAGAAAAACAAACGAGAATTTGTTCTCTTATTTGATGAGAGATGGCGACACTATTACTCGAAATTGCAGGCTTCCGTTATGTAAAAGAGACATGACGTCATAACTGAGTTACGAGTGGAAGTAAAATCTCGTTTAAATCCTCGATATTAATGGCGTGGATTTAAATATACGGAAATTAAATCGCGGAAATATTTGTCTCGTTGAATAGAATATAATCGAAATTAATTAAACACATTCCAAGCATTTATAATACTGTAGTAATTTTGAGAGGAAAAAATGCGTTTTTTTAATGCTGAAAACCATTTAATGGCGCTTCTTCGTTGTTTTCTTTGTCTTATATCGATTTTATTTTGTATGTAGTGCCGACGAGACCTAATAAATAGCAAGAACATGTACAAGAATCTATTCTCAGTCCACCTTACCTGATCTGGATGAGGTAGAAGGAAACAATGAACGAATTTTCTACCTTCCTGAAGTTAATTATTGCTATATTTACTGTGCTAAATGACATTTATCAGCATAAAAGACAATGTATTCGAGTTTCGGAGCGGTTAAATGTAATAATTAAAAAATTAAAGTGCTAGATAGAAAGATAAATATGCTCAGGTGATGCTGTAACTCCGAAACATCCGGAGGAAAATAGCGAGAAAATTCACCTCGTTGGAGTACAACACACAAACTGTTGTTGTTTTTTTATACTTTTATACACGATTCACGTTCGAATTTCAACAACAACCCATTCCCGAAAGCGGGCATTTTTGCTTTCCAATGGACTTTTTATCTACGTGGTCACGCTACAAAATCCAGAGCCAAGAGTAGAGACCACACAGAAATCACACACGTCTCTACCTATATACAAGAACATGACAGTCCAGAAATTAAACTAAAATAAATTTACTACAATTTAAAGCCGTCCAGAACTTTAAAAAATCTGTAAGAAGCTCCTAAATATATTTTCAAAATAATTATAATTTTTGCTAATAAATTTAGAAAAATTCGATTTTCCGATATAAAAAATGTTTAATTAAAAGTATTTATGAAAGATTACAAATGTTTTAATTAATTAAAGTTTATTTATGGCTCTTTACAACGATTTAAAGTTAAAAGATCGATTAAAAATTGGGGGAAAACGGAGAAAAATGAGGGGAAACGGAGGTATTTTTGTTTATTCCAAAGCGATTAAAACTCGCCTCACAATGGAAATGCGATCGTTAATATCAGGATTTATAGTTTTTTTTTTCCTTCTTCTTCTTCTTCTTGGGGATATTTTTATTAATGACATTATCGGAATTAAAGGAAAGGTTTGCTTCATCATTCGCCTAATTAGACTTCTAGCTCATTACTGAAACTAATTAACAAACGCAGTTCATCAATAAATTCTAGTTTAAAGGTGAAAACATTTTATGAGTTTGCTCATTTTCATTTTCTTTATTAAATGTAAACGCCAAATTAAACCAATATTTATAAACACAATACTTGACTCTTTCTTTCCTCCTTCTCCTCCTCTTCCTCCTCCTCCTCCTCTTCCTCCTCCTTTAAAGTTATAAAATTTAATTTATTTTTAAAATTCTTCTTTGTTTATAAATTATTTTGATTTATATTATATATATTTAAGATTCGGATTTTAATAATAATAAATTCGGATGATATACAGATTAAGATTAATTAATATATAAAATAATTTTAATGTAGAAATTTTTCAACAGATGGCATTACCAGCGTTTTATAAGGCTTTATATTGTAATTAGGTTAGCATGTTGATTTTGATCGTTTTTAGCGTTGTCTGCGGGTAAAAAAGGTTTGAATTTTGATTTATCGTGCGGAAAAGTTTAGATTTAAGGCGAAAAAAGCATGATTTATGATATCCAAGTGTGGAGCTTCCGCATTTCTGATACAGTTAAGTGTAATCACGATTGTTCTAACGACAGAAACCCACATAAAAACATCTGATTTAGTTTCTTAGATCATTATTTGTTATAAATATGGAAAAATAAATATTAATTTTTACAATTTTAATAAATTTGAGTAATAAAAATACAAATTTACAACGTTAAAGATGGAAGAGAAAGTTTGAGAAAACAATGTGAAGCTGCCATTTCTGGGCGTTTTGCTAAAAACTCCCAAATATTGCTACATTGCTCTCAAATTGAGGCTCTACACTGTTCCAAATTGAAGCCCTAAACTACTACATTACCCCAAATTGCAGCCCTACATTGCTACATTGCTCTAAATTGCAGCCCTACACAGTTGCATTGTTCGAAAGATCAGACTTTATAAGTAAAAACGTGAAAAAATACTAGTAAACACATTCTTAGAATTGATAAGAAAATTGTAGGAGTCATGGTAAGAGCGTAAGAGTTAAAGAGTTGAGGGATTAGAGGAGAGATCTGAGAGGAAACGTGCAGCGAATAAATGCGCCAAAAATGATTACAGCGTTGTGTGGCCATAAGAATGGCAATCAGATTAAGGTTCTATCGCGCTTAGTATTTCATCGACACGCCGTCCACTGTCCTTCGGGTGTAGAGTTCCTCGCAAGAGATGCTAACTTTTATTACTCTAATGCATTAACACGCGTAAGGAAAATTCAATTTAAAAATCGAAATAAATATACCAGAGTAATGTGTCTTAATCGATCCATTCCGTAAAAAAGGAGGAAATTTAATCTCTTAATTACATCTCGTAATAATTTAATATATATTTTTTAAACTTAATTTTAAAAAAACTGAAAGAAATCAAACCCATCTCTCCTCCTCTTTGTGTGCTGGAGGAGGAAGATGAAGAGGAGGAGAGTCATTTTTAGGTGGATTTTTCCGTATATCTTCTAAATTAACCGAAAAAATATAGCAGAAGGTTGTGAAAATTAGCTTCGGACGTGTAATTATTGTAAAAATGAGGCAAAGATTGCCAAGATAAGGATGCTATTCGGGATTATTGGCCTCATTCCAAGCTGTTAAGAGAGATCCTTTTAATACGTGTCTACTTGGCGGTTCTGCTAAATTTCCTCCACATCTGTCATCCCTGTTAATTTCTTCAACGTGATAAACGCTTTCATTTTACCGACACCAACGCTGCCACAATTGTATTATCTCATTTGAAAATTAGGGTAAAAACGTTAACTCGAAAGGACGACGAAGCGCGCCACAAATCAACATTTATCTTCGCCTTCCCTGCCATATTAAACTGTCAAATAAATAATAACTCCTGTATTTTTCTGATAGAAGAAGAGATTGATAGATTCGGCCGCGTGTTTTCTATAAAAGAACAATGTCCCCTTACTATAAAATATACTTTAAATCAATCTGTCGTCGAAGCCAGTCGTAAAGGCCTCGCGCCATCTTGAGCCACGGAATTTACGAGTTTTGCCACTTTCATAATTACTTTAGAAGAGATTTCTCTAATGTATCTTCAACCTCTACTACTACACTTGATTGTCGGATAGATTAGTTTAAAATTTTCGAGTAAATTTACTTGTAAATTTGATTTTAAATGTCCGTCCTCTTAGTTAAATCTCATCCGTTCCGCACGAAAAAATGGAAAGAAATTCAATTATTTTATATCATTGCTGTAGTATTAATTTTATTTACGCTCCGGAGAGTGGGTATGTTAAAAAAAATGGATATTTTAGTGAAAACTCTAGGTTAGTTTTTGATCTATAACAGATTTTTCCGGTTGTTTCTCGTCGAAAATTTGAAAAAAAAATCGCATTTTTGTGCACGTAGTCCGCGCAATCGATAAATTATCGATGTTTTATTTTATAAAATTGATGGGAGAAGGTAAGAGAAGAGCGTGTTAATGACATATTTAAACGAAAAGCGTGTTTCAATCTCGCAAAAAGGAAATGAGCCGTGAAATCACCCAACCTGACGATCATAATGTACTTTAATATGACACCAAATTTATCTAATCTTAAATTTGAACCTTTTTTTCTTTTTTCTTCCTTTTAAATCTTGTTGACAACTCATTAGCGCTTCTTAATTTGCGGTATTTTAACAGGGAAAGTACAAAAGTTCCAAACAATTTTTCCTCATATATGACGTCACGACGAAAATTAAATTTTAAATTTTAGGATTACGAATTTGTTTTATGTTCAAACTTCGAAAGACTTTTTTAAATCGTTAATTTTACTAAAATTTACGACATTTTTATCATCTATAAAATTTTTTTCTTCCATTAATTTTCTTGTATTAAAAAAACAAATGTAATATTTCAAATTGTAAATAATTTCGTTTTATTTGCGGTTGTTTCGGTTGTTTACGTGAGCAGATGTTAAATTCCTGTTGATTTTGTCTAGTAGAAGCCGTAATTTTTGAATTATTCCGATTTAAATTGCCGTTGTGTCAAAGGATTGTCGAGAAATTCTTCGACCTTATCGATTTATAAAGTTTAAGCTAAATAAACGAATCATTTCGGCATTTATATTTATAAATTCCAGTTTAATTACACTCGCACGAAATTTCTACTCCATTTAAATAAAAAAAAATCACATTAAAACACTAAAAAAAGAAAAAACATTCATTAAAACTATGGCTTCCAGTGACGTCATTTATGTGGAAACGACTAAGCAAACATTGTTCAGAGCTACATTATCGTTCGCTTGAGATTAGTTGCGATTAATTTAAGCATAGAATAAGACTAGAGCTTAGAATCTCCCATCAGAATTTTATTTATTTCCCTCGCTTTCTTCCTTATCTTTCAGAAGAGGGGAGACATCTTCAGCTTTGATGAAGTGAACCAGTTAAAATCGGACGTCACTAACTGCACGGTTCGATCCCAAATACAATTCCTTGACTAACGATGCTATTTTCAATAAGAGAATGAATTCATCCGAGAAATTTAAGAAAATACACATTGCTTTTCCTT